AATTAACTAAGAAAACTTTCCAGAAACTTCATGCTTTTCTTTGTCTTCAGTACAAATTAGTCATGGGCATGTGCATGGCTGATTTCTGTAATTAGCAAGTTGATATGTCCCCCAGATTGACCTCATCATATCCAATACTTTTTTTTTGACAACCAACTAGTGCAATTGTGCTGCAAGCCTCAGCCAAGACAGATTTACAAATTCTTGCCCCCAAGAATTTGTTTTTCCAAGCCCCCCCCCAGTATTTGTTTGATACACCACTGTTTTTATTTGTGAAAAATAGCTATGTTTATTTACTCCCACTGTAGTGCATTTTGTTTGGGTAAAATTAAGAAACTATTTGATAGCATTGCAAGTACTTTACAATAAAGGATTATGGAAGTCCTTGTCTCCCAGTCTGGGTTCCAACCTATAATTCAGAAATTCTAGAATAATAATCTTCTATGATCTTCTATTCAGAGTTATTTGAAGGTAAAGTGAGAGAATGCATATGAAGCAATCTGAACCCTTCTTGGAGCATGAAATGTGATTGTTCATAAGCAATACTCTGCTTTACATTGCATTGTATGCAACGCCTACTGTCGGCATATGTATCTTGTTTATATTAGGGTTTGTTGCAAAATAAAATCATTACAACATCAAGACCTCATGCAGTGTAACCAAACAAAGTTCATACTGGCCATGTGCCTTTAGTAAAGTTCAGTGCTGGAGAAAGTCCCAGAAGATTTGAAACTCATTCTTCAAAGAGTATTATTTTCCATGTTGCTGATGTAGAAAGAGGTCAGACTGTAATGTTCTCTATTGCTCAGACAGGCCTCCCAAACCAGATGGTCATTATTTCCATAATGAGGACATCCCAGATTTAAAGCAAATCATCCATCTCCTCTCCAGTCTACCCCACTCCATCTTCTCCACGGGACCATTTCTCTGATGACCATCCCTGCCCTCGATATGTTTGAGCCAGAACAAAATAATCTAAGCAATTTATACGGTTGACATCAGTGTATTTTTAGAATGCCACCAATTAAGAAGTCTGCATGACGTTTACTGCAGGTGGTAGGGATCTGATCCAAACATATATTGCTGTTGCTTTGTACAACACTAAAGGCATTGTCTTTGTGTCTTAATTATGTGCCTGTTTCATTTTCTATCAGCACTGAGACTCAGGTGATCACTCATGACCTTACAAATGGACTCTACATAGGGCTGACCTTGAAGACCATTTGGAAGCTACAGCAACAGTATGGGCTGTAATGGATATGTTGTGATATGATCATGTGACACCACTGCTCCATGAACTACATTGGTTACCAGTCAGTTTCCAGACACAATTCAAGGTGATCACTACCATCTACAGTATAAAGCTCTTTGCATAAGGCCCACTTATTTCAGGGAGTAATATACTTGGCACAGGGGTTGCCTATCTGAAATAGTTTCTGCCTATCTTATAGGTTCAGAAAGAGCGGTGTGTGCCAGCTTTCCATAATGTCATCTATTAGGATCTTGGAAGCATACATTTTCTGTTGAAGCATCTGCCTCCAGCAAAACTATCCCCTAGATATCCATTTAGCTTCCACCCTGATGATGTTCAGAAAATCACTGAAAACCTGGCTATTTACCCAGGTCCTGGAATAAAATGGTTGCTGAACCCTTGCAGGATTTTTTTGTCTGTGAGGTACAGTTTTCTTCTAGATCAGTGGTTCTCAACCTGTGGGTCGGGACCCCATTTGGGGTCGAACGACCATTTCACAGGGGTCGCCAAACAAGGCAGTCTGCCATTTTTTCCCCTTTTCCTTAGCTGTACTACTCCCTTTTATTCTATTGGCTTTTGAAAGCCAATAGAATTAGACTCTCTTGAATAGAGACTAATTCTATTGGCTTTCAAAAGCCAAGAGGAATTGTCCAGGCTGTCTCTGCCCTGCTGAGCCCGCCAAAAGTCCCATTCTGCAAACGGTGCTGCAAGTTGTCTGCAGCGAAGGCGAGCTGTCTGGAAGCTTTATCCCCTCCCTACTGAGCAACTACTAAAAATGAAAGTAAAAGAGGGCCAGGGGTGGGAGGTGGGAGGCCGGCGGGCGCAGGGAGGGTTGCTGGCGCACGTGGGGCCCGGCAGGTGCCTTACCTCCCTTGGGCTGGGCCAGCTGGTAGCCCAGCCGGTGGTCGGCCTGCTCCGTCTCTGCTGCTTGCCAGCTACGCCTCGACTGGTGCAGGGGGTGGCACCACGCATGCGTGGCGCTCCCAGGTAGGGAAAGTCCTCTACTTACGACCGGTTGGGTAGTCCTCGACTTACGACCAGTTGGAGGGTCACGGCATTAAAAAGGTTGAGAACCACTGTTCTAGATGCATGTACTCTGTTTCCCTATTTTATTGCTTCCTGCTTTTAAAACTATGCGTCACTAAGAGCTACATAGAGTCAAGCAAGTTCGTCTATAAATAAACAAACAAACAAACAAATAAATAAATTCAAGTCATTATTTTAGTATATTTTACTACCACAGGACTTCTCAAACTTTGCCATACAATGTCTCTCCTACCCATTATCCCCTGCAAAATAAAAAATGAATTTGAGTGACTCCATTACCACAAATAAAGCTGATAATTTTATTGGGCTCAGACCTGGGCAAGACATAAATATAACATTCATTAAAAAGGGTAAAGCTTCCTTGACTTAATTTTATATTTATCAGCATTACCTCTTGAGTGATCATCTGTAGGTTTTATCTTCCAAAGCTTTTTCTGTTTTGAAATTTAGAACAGTCGCTAACACATACACTTTGCAGACATTCTAAAGACTTTGGATATACAGATAGTCCTCAACTTACAACCACAGTTGCCCAGTGTCTGAATTTTGATCACATAACTATGGGGATGTTGCAATGGTCAAAAATGTGAAAAAGTCATAAGTCACTTTTTTCAGTGCCTTTGTAACTTCAAACGGTCACTAAGTGAACTCTTGGAAGTCAAGGACTGCCTGTACTACTATACGCCATGCAGAGTTGCCATCTGATGAGAAAGCACTCCAAATCAAAGTTTTGCTATGATTGGTGAATGGGTCTAATAACAACTAAACTCGTTCTTTGCTGCCCATGATTGCCCCAAGGATAGAATAGAGTTGGATAGAGATGTAGCTGTAGTATTTTCTACTACATTCATTTTATCATAAAGCTAGGTAGAATGAGATAGGTAGGCAGGCAGGCAGGCAGGCAGGCAGACAGACAGACAGATAGATAGATACTAGACCAGTGGTGGCGAACCTATGGCACGGGTGCCAGAGACGGCACACAGAGCCCTCTCTGTGGGCACGCGCGCCGTCGCCCCAGTCCTAGGCCTTCAGCTGGGTTTTATAAAACCTTTTCGCTTTAGGCTTCCGCCGCCGTGTGCAAAAAAAAAAAGGTTCAATCAATCAGTCAATTTCAACTTCTCACGGGAAAAAAAGATCTTGCAAAGTTGGAATTGATTGATTGAACTTTTTAGTCCTACTACTGCAGCCACGTCCACCCAATCGGCCATACCCACCCAATTGGCCACACCCAGCCAATGGGCCACACCCACCCGGCACCCGACAATGCATAAGTGGGTTTGGGGTTGCAGTTTGGGCACTCAGTCTCTAAAAGGTTCGCCATCACTGTACTAGACCTTTGCGTAAAGTTGCTCCAAGCAGTTAAATGAATTCTTTGTGAAGAATTTTTCCCTGAAGTGCTGTGGTAAGCCTACTTTCTGGATGGCCTGATGCAGCTGCTGTCCCAGGTGGTCAGTGTGTAAGTCTCGGTCTATGTCTGAGTCTGCACAAATACTGCGACCGCTGGCAAAGTGAAGGGGTTGTGCAATGAACTGAGAAAGCCCTTGACGCAACTACCTCAACATTTTGAGAACGGATTGTACCCTTGTGCCAACACACTGCAAAGCATCCTTTCAGGAGATCTGCCCTGCCTAGCAATTCAGGCCAGAAACTTCTTAATTTGTGAAATTAAGAAATATTACAGAGAACAGCCAAGAATATCTATGTTTGGCTCTGCTCTTCCATTTATTTTTGAGCAGACACACGCATCTGTTTTTTTTTTTTTTTTTTTAAGAGTCAGGTTCATAAACAAGCTAAAAGATTTTGCTCAATTTTCTTCTCGGCACCAGAGCCGTATTCTTATTTTCCATTGCAACAAAGGAGGTCTTTTGAAAGGCCTAGCCTGAGAGGTCTGATTTTCATAATTCTGCTCTACGCAGTTGAAGACTGCTAGGATGGAGAACTCCACAGCCAAAACTGTCTACAGAGAGCATTTTCTGCCATGTCTTACATAACAACAAACATTTCCTGAAGAAATTTCAGTATAAAAAGGCTCACACGAAAAGATCCAATCAATCTGTAGGCAAACTTCAACTTTTTCAATACAGAGAAGTAATTCAAGCACTTTTTTCCCCCAGATAAAGCCACTCTTACTGTTTGAATGGCATGCAGTGGCACACTTTGAAAGGTAGGACAGGAGCATAAACAAACTGGCCTTAATGTGTATTTAAGAACTTTTCCCTTTTGTTACATTAAAATGAAAATTCAGGAATCCTGAGAGTCATAATCAAGGCTCTCTTAAGCATCAGGCTGTGCATTTCATATACTAAAATAAGTTTCTTAATGTTACTTCCTGTTATCCACTAATTGCTGGATACAAAGGAGAAATTTCCTGACAGTTGGAACAATTAATCAGTGGATCAATTTGCCTCCAGATGCTGTGACTGCTCCAGTCCTGGAAGTTTTTAAGAAGAGATTGGACAACCATTTGTCTGAAATGGTATAGGGTTTCCTGACTGAGCAGAGGGTTGGAGACCTCCAAGGTCCCTTCCAACTCTATTGTTCTCTTATTGTAAATTATATGTACAATTATGTTTGTGCCTTTAGCCAATGCAATAGACAATTAACAAAATATTTCACAGTAATTCTTTAAAAAGCCGTTTTTCAAACTAAGTGCTCATTACATAAGGCACACTAAAGCCCAAATAAAATTAACTTCTCTTACCTGGAAATGCTAAACATCCAATCATCAAAGCAAATGCTGGAAGGATACAATATGAAGTCATTTTTGCCACACCCAAAGTTCCGCAATTATCTCCTTTCAGCCGCGCTTTGTACCGGCGCTGATCTTAAGAAAAGGATTAATGGGGATGCTTTGAAAGTTGTCCAGCCTTTTAATGACCTGCAAAAATGTTCAGAAGCCAATTTTAGAACATTGCTTAAGCAGACGTGATTTTCCGTTACTTTTCCACAAAAACAAAGACAGCCAACATATTTTAAAACAATTTTACTTTATAAACCATCAGAGAGAGGAAGATGTTGTTCTTTTTGTCAAAAACTTAGTTTTCTCTAGCTTCAGGGTATAAGTCGGGGTGTCCAATCTTGGGAATTTAAAACTTGTGGACTTCAACTCCCAGAATTCTCCAGCCAGCTATGGTTTTAAAATTGCCAGGGTTGGATAACCCTGGAATAAGTCCAAACCTACTACACTTCTGTGTTCCTGATTCAAAGGAATACCACAAATGAGAAAGTAAGGAAACATCCTTAGATAAGGAAGATAGTCACAGAATTGCTCTCCTTTTAATAATATATTGTATGAAAGTCACTATGGTGCATTAAATATTTATATTTAGCTGTCTAAATAACAAGTGACCTTAATGACCTTAATGTTCAAAAATTCAACTGGAGCACTATAATGATTGTTTAAGGTTTTTTTTAAAAAAAACCTTTTGAATGGCTTATATAAATTATAGTAAATTACAATATTTTAAAGCATCTGTGTTATAAATAGGGCAGCTTCCCCGACTTTGTGGCCCCTGAGATGAACTTGACTTTCATTCTCAGAAGCAGTACTCAATGATTTTATTTTCCTGCATGGAACTTTATCTGTGCTGGTTTTGAAAGATGATGAACCAAAAAAACTGCATATTAGCTATGAGAGCACTTCCAAAATCCTGTACAGCAGGAGTCCCCAATCTCCGGGCCATGGACCGACCCTGGTCCATAACCTGTTAGGAACCAGGCCGCACAGGTGGCAGTGAGAGGTAGGTATTTTTATTTGCAGCCACTCTCCAGTGCTAATATTACTGCCTCAACTACACCTCAGATCATCAGGCATTAGATTTTCATAGGAACGCAAAACCTACTATAAACTCTGCATGCGAGGGATCTAGGTTGCCTGTTCCTCCTTCTACCACCACCCCTGGTCTATGGAAAAATGGTCTTTCATAAAATCGGTTCCTGGTCCCAAAAAGGTTAGAGACCATTGCTATAAGGTACAGCAGATATCTTAATCCACCAACTTTCTTGATGCTCCTTTTACATTTTACATGTTCATTTTGCAGGACACTGTCAGGCACAGAGCACCAGGAGCCCACATTAAGTTCCAGTTAAGCTGATTTATTGCTCATACCTATACACAAGAATCTAACTAATGATCAGCACTAAATTAGTGCTAGGTAAGAGTTAATGGAATTCAAGAAGAACTGGACTTAGACCATTTGTGGCAATGTAAGGATGCCAAGCTGATTTCTCACTTAACTCTGCCTCCATGCACTGCCTGCTCTTCTCCTACAGGCAAGCGATAAAAATCCTTATCTCCAATCCAAAAGCCTCCAACAGAACAAATCAAATCAAAGCAAGCAAGCAATAAATGCAAGCATCAGAAAGAGCGATTTTGCTAGGATAGGGGTAAAAAATGTTTCTTCCAAAATTTGGCAACCCAGTGCCAAAATCAAATACATTGTGTGATTTTCTTCTGTTAATTGAGTCAAAGACATCCCTTTGTTTTGACTTGCCCCATCAATTTTCAACAGGATATCTCTGTCCATACTCACAGAGATCTTATTATTATTATTTTTTTAAAGGACAACCTTTAAAATCTGCATTCTGGGTTGTGTATGGATGTTTTTGTTCTCAGCAACTTTAGTTTCTTTCTTGATAACATCTATTGGTATTCTCATGTACTGGACAGGTAGTCCCCGATTTGCAACAGTTCACTTAGCAACTGTTCAAAGTTACAATGGCACCGAAAAACGTGACATAATTTTTCTCACTTCTGACCGCTCCAGCATCCCCATGGTCACGTGATTTATATTCGGGTGCTTGACAACTGACTCACTTTTATAAGGGTTGCAGTGTTGTCCCAGGGTCATGTGATCCCCTTTTGCAACCTTCTGACAAGCAAAGTCAATGGGGAAACCAGATTCACTTAACAGCCATGTTACTAGTTTAACTATTGCAGTGATTCACTTAGGACAGACATGTCAAACACAAGGCCCGGAGGCCGGATGAGGCCCGCGAAGTGGTTTCATGTGGCCCGCGAAACCATCCTGGAAACAGTGAGGGAACGGCCCCCTCTGCCTTGGCCCTGGCCCAGGCCAGCCGGGAGCCAATGTACAATTTTGTGGTGGCCCTCTATGCTGAAATGCATTCAGTCTTAGCTCCATAAGCCCTCCCCGCAAGGACTGAGAGGAACAGTGAGGCTCCTCCAGTGGACCATGCCTTGGCACTTGCTCCGGTCCCACCCCCTTCTGCCAGAGACCCTCGGATCTACCCCACTCCTGCCCAGGCCCCCACAGGCACTCTTGATGCTAACGATATAGAGCTGGCCACACCCACCCAGTAGGCCACACCCACTCCATCCACACCCGCTCAGTAGGCTGCACCCACCGTGGCCACACCCACCCGGCACCCTGAGGGCAACCGCAATGCTGATGCGGCCCTCAATGAAATTGAGTTTGACACCCCTGACTTAGGAACTGTAGCAAGAAAAGTTGCAAAACTCACTTAACAAATTTTTCACCTGGCAACATAAATTTTGGGCTCAATTGTGGTCGTAAGTTGAGGACTATCTGTAGTTTGTTATTTTATAACAAACTTCAATAAAGTTTTTATTTTAACTCCTTCAATAAATCAATAAATGCTAGGCAGCCTAATGGTTGAAACATACCTGTATTAAGGCAAAGGGAAGACTTAGAGAATTCCAGAGATTTGAAACAGAATGCTAAATGCGAGGATGGTAAAATGCATGCTTAACATTTCAACACATTCCCCAACACACACACACATACACACATACCCCACACACAAACATATGGAAAGCTTACAAGGCAAGAAAAGGTAAGCCTTCTCCCTGATACGTTTGCCATGGCTCTCAGTTCTTTGTCTCCTCTCTTCTACACACAAACACACACACAGACAAACACACAGAAATTAAAACCATCATTCTGTCCATATGTAGTAGAAGAACATTTTACTGTTGACTTTAGAACAAAATAATACGTTCTTCACAATGCATTCCAAGCCTAACCACAGATTTACTGGAAGTTCATCGATGGGTTTCCAAAAGTAAAAACATGTGAGGTATATGAGGCGAGATATGCTTTTTTTTTTTCTTTTCAGAAAAGTAAAATCCTTTTCCAAACAGGAAGGCTGCATTTATTCTCCTAACTGAATCAGAATCAAATCTAGAAAATTGATTTTTCACTGGTCTGAAATCCTATTTGAATGAAAGTTGGTAAGTAAATGTTTTAAGAACACACACACACACACAGAGGAAATAAATACAGGTAGTCCTCAACTTACAACTACTTGTTTAGTGACCGTCCAAAGTTACAATGGCACTAAAAAAAGTGACTAATGACCATTTTTCACATAACTGTTGCAGCATCCCCGTAGTCACGTGATTTACGTTCAGATGCTTGACAACTGACTCATGCTTATGACGGTTGCAGTGCCCTGGAATCATGTGATCCCCTTTTGCAACCTTCTGACAAGCAAAGTCAATGAGGAAACCAGATTCCCTTAACAACAACGTTACTAATTTAACAACTGCACTGATTCACTTAACAAAGTTGGCAAGAAAAGTCATAAAATGGGGCAAAGCTCACTTAAATTTGGGAAGGACATTGGGTAAGGAAGTGGATTGACTGTTGTGGTTCTAGGAAATGGTGGTGGTGAAGGGGAAGTTGTGATTTGTATATCATAGAAGAAGCAAGGTGTGAAGTAATAAGCTCTTACTAAATGACAGATATCAGAATAGTGAGGTTAGTTCTGGAGCCTGGCAGATGGAAGACTCTGACACAGTGCCAGAGAGGTACCCAGGATATGCCAACCACATGAGTTCCCCATGGTGATTTTGGAAGCAAACTCTGGACTCCTCCACCTTCAGTGAGAACCAGGGGAGTGAGAGAGGGCTGTGCTTCCTGGGATGACATTTCTTGGGACAATAATTGAGGAAAATGGATGGTGGGAAGGAGACTTTCAAAGGTGAGGTTCTCCAGACAGCAAAGATCTGATGAAAGCAAATCCAAGGATGGTATAAGAAAACTGAGGTTAAGAATGTGGTTTATCCAGTGGAAGTAGCTTAGTGGTAAACTGCAGAATGGGAAAGATGATACAACAGTCAGTTGAGCACACTTCTGGCAGCTTGAGTCAAGGAACAGTAGATGGAGAGCAGAGAGTATCAGAGTTGCAAAGGGCAAGGGAAGGGATGAGGGGCACATGGGGAAAGTTTTATGGGAAGAGAAACCAAGAATTTGGGATCAAGACCCTCTTCTGGCCCCTCAGCCTCTTCCCAGGGTCCTAGATGTCAAAGGCTCTAGATATGAAATTAGATGCCAGGCAACCTAGGAGTACTGCTTATGTACCACTAGCCCTGATGCCTGACACTTTCCCTACCAAGCTGCTGGATCTAATCATTGAGCTGCTAGTGGATTTCCCCTGGCATTAGATGGTGGGGAACCGCCAAGCCGTGGGAATGAGATTTGCTTGTATTTTCACGGCCTCCATGACAACCATAAGCTTGCCTCAAGTCATCAAAGGCCCAGCATACAATGGGAGGGAATACAATTAATCTACCCTTTACTTTAGAACAGCTGGAACATGTTTGGAAGGAGGCAGATAGGACAGTAACGTAACTCACTCCCTTTTGAGAAATGGTGAGTCAGAAAAACTTTCTTCGGGCTTCTTGCTAGGCACTTGTAGACAGATTTGTTCATATTCACTTTGGATTCGAGGTTTGCTGGACAGAATCCCATGAGACAATAAGGATGATGTCTTATCTGAGACTCATTCAGATTCTGAAGAACTAGACAGGATTCTCTATGGGATGAGCTCCACCAGTCTGAGATGGATCCTTGGCCCTCTACACTGGTCTGAGCTGCTAGGGAGGGGACTAGC